GCCAGGCGTGGCGAGGGGGGGGGCGGGGGGGGGGTAACATGGACCAGGCAGGCTCAGCCAGGCCCCTGCCTCTCCCCTTCCCCACAGGGACCCGGCCTCATGTTCCCACAACCCCCACTGGGGCAGGAGCTGTGGGGGCAGGGGGTTGCGAGGGGTTACACAGCAGGGCTGGGGCAGGGTGCACGGTGGCTCAGTCCTCACAGGCACAGGCAGCAAGTCCCTCAGCCTAAGCCAGGGGTTTGGCAATTATTTGGGCCCGCGGGGCACTGAGGGAGTTTTGGAGAGCTGTAATGGGCTGGATCAGCAGCCCTGCCCCAAGCAACAGCTCACCGACACTCCCTAAGAGGCCACATCCCACCCACCTGGCCTGCTATGCCGGCATGGGGCTGGCCAGTCTCAGTGGAGACCCTGGGATCGTAGGGTGATGGCAGCATGGGGCAGTCATGATCTGTTCCCCCTACGGCCCTGCACACAGACCCGGTGCCTGTCGCAGAGGCGTGCGGGCAATGAACCACGTCTGTGCCCTGGCCCCGGGCACAGCCTTACGCTGTCGCTGCTTCATGATCCCACCCCATGATCCTGGCCTCGCCATCCCGCTCCTGAACACTGCACCCTGCCTGCACACAGCCCCATCCTGCACACCCTGCCCACCCAGGTCCCACCCCCTGTGCTGGGTGCGGGGCAGACGGGACAGGCCAAGGAGCCCGGGCAGCGGAGCCAAGTCACACGGTGGCAGCCGGAAGGAGCCACGGCCACCAGGGCTGCTGGGAAGCAGGTCCAGCCGCCACATTGCCCCAGCCCACTGTGCACTGTGCACCTGGGGGTAGCAGAGCTGACTGCACGCACCAAGGCCCAGGCTGCCCCCCATGACCCAGGCTACCAGCTGCCATGGACTGGTTAAAATCCCTCTGTGGGACAGATCTGGCTTGTGGGCCATATTTTGTTCTAGCTTTAAGCTGAACCCTAAGCCTGGCCCTAGCCCTAGCCCCAACCCCAGGTCTAAGTGCGAGTGATGGTCCTTTGTCCTACCCCCACCCCTGCAGGTCCATGCTTCTCACTACCCTAACCCAACCCCCTGGGCTGTGGGGGCTTCTGTTGGGTGTCCCACCCACCCACCCAGGTTATGTAGGGACCCCTCCCTCCTGCTCTGGTGCTAGCCTGTGTTGGGACAGGTGATGCCTGCTGGAGCCTGTGCCAGCCCAGGGGGCTCAGTCACCCTGTGACCATGTGCCTGCACTGGAAACACCAGGAAAACCAGCTAGGCATGGCCAGTCAGGGACTCTGCCACTTCCCAGAAACCCTGAGAGAGGAGGGAAAGCACTGCCCGGGGTGGCAAAGGGAGCTGCTGCCTCAGTAGGACCTGCCAGAGGTGACTACTGGCCCAGAGGAAAAGGCCCTGACCAGGTGATGGGACCCAGCACAGCGAGCCTGTACATTGCAGCGGGGGGCCCCAGCCTCTTCCCTGCTTGGACCCCACTGGGCCAGGCACTGATGCAAACAGAGTGTTAATTCAGTGTTAATCACAGACCCCCTATCTCTGAGCCATGGACAGGAGCGAGCTGCCCAATAGCTCTCGCGTAACCCTAGCCCCGGTGCCAGGGGCTGCGCTCCATGGGGCACCCTGTGGAGTTGGCAGGCACTGCCGAGCCCTGCTCCTTGGAGGGGGCGGATGGCGCAAGGGGGTTGAGGCCCTGCTTTCCAGTCACAGCCCTATGGCCTGTCCCCAGCAACTCATCCCCATGCCAGGGTGACTGGGGAGTATGAGCCCAATAGCAGTAGTGGTGGTGGTGGGCAAGGGTCTGCTCAGGTGGTCAATTTGTGCTCTATCCTGTGAAGGCTGCAGGGCACAAAATAGCCGCACCAGGGTGGGACCATGGACAAGATGGAGCAGGGGCTGCAGCCTGGTGTCCATGCCAAGGGAGGGCCAGGACATCACCACAGGCTAAATGCTGTATCACCCCTCCGGCCCATCGCCCCATGCCTGGGCCAGGCCTGCTACAAGGTGGGCTAAGAGGCAGCTGTCCATAGTGCAGGGCTCGAGGACACCAGGCTACGAATCCCTTCTGCTAACATCTCCTTGCTCAGGGCTGATTCCTGCCAGCCAGCCCCAGCCCGGAGTCTGAGCACAGATGGGCACACGCGGCTCTGCTCCTCTTTCCAAGTTTTATTGCTGGGAGTGCCGGGCGGCGCGGGACAGAGGTCACTCGTCGTAGAACTTGGGGATGTCGTCGCCCAGGAACACCTGCTCCTCCGCGCCTGCCTTGGTGATTGTCACGAGATAGATGACCCCCCCACTGGAGCCGTCCCTGCTCATGGCCAGGGCTATGGCTGGGGGGAGAGGGAGGGAAATGAAGGGTCAGTTAACCACCCGCTTGGAAGAGGAGGACTCCTGCCCCTTCCCTTACCCCACACCCTGAGCCAGGCCACAGTGACCCCTGGCCAGAGCACGTACAGTTCTTGGTGAACTGCTGACACTCCTCAAGCTTCATCCCTGGCTTGTAGGCAGCATCCACGTAGCCGTAGATGTAGGTGCTGCCAGAGCCCCCGATGGCGAAGGGCTGGCGGGTCAGCATGCCCCCCAGTGTGCCGTACACCTGTGGGAGAAGTGAGAGGTGACTCCAGTCTATCTGCAGCCAGTGGCACAGCACCAGGGACTCAGCCACAGTCACAGATACCCTTGTGCCCGACATGCCGAGTGCCTGGGCCCAGCTCTGGCAGGTGTCTTGGATCCACCTCCCAGCCCTTGGGGTCTTGCCTCCGGCTGCCAGCTGCTGCCCAGGTGTGGGGCGCTGGGAGAGCAATGTTGTGGGGGAGGGGATGGATCATGGATCATGTCAGCAGGGAGGGAGTCTGTGCCCAGCCCTGCTGGCTGACCCAGGGCTTAGCCTTGCCCCTCTCTGGGCTCAGGTCTCTCACCATCCCCTCTATTTTGCTGCTCTGCAGAACTGCAAAGAACTGGGGAGGGACCATGTGGGCACAAGAGAGGCCCTGATCCCAGTCTGCGCAGCTTCTGGTCATGCATGGGCCCAATCCCATCTGGGGGTCTGAGCTGCACCGAGACTCCTCCACGCACCCCCTCAGCCCTGTCCCAGCCTCACCTGCCCTCCCTTCCTGTGGTCCCAACCGGCTACCATGAGATGGGCTGAGAGCTCTTCTTTGTACTTGTAGCTGATGCCCCTCACCAGGGTGGCAGCTGCCAGGACCAGAGGTGGATCATCCATGTCCATGCTGCGGGGGGAAGGCACCAGAGCTGGAATGGGGCAACAGGGGCACACGGATCCCATCCTGCTGGGTCCAGCCCTGCTCTGCCCACCCCTACCTGTGCAGCTCCAGGTGGTAATGCACCATGTCAGCGATGGCCTGAGCGTCGGCCGCGGAGCCGGAGAGGGCACAGTAGATGCGCTTGTGTAGTGGAGCCAGCTTGTCAAAGACCCGGTTCACCACGGCCTCCCTGGGGAGAGACCCGGGCAAACATGAGTGCAAACGCCCCCAGCCCCAGCCTGGCCTGCCCCCAGATGAGCTCTGCAATAACACTCAGAGCCTGTCCTCACCCCCCAAAACCTTGGCACCCACCTTTCCTAGAGCGCATCCCAATGCCCCCTTCTCTGGCACAGAGTCTGCCCCCCAGACCCTCCCTCCCTCCCTCCAAAGGAAATGCCCAGTTCCCAGCTCTGAAACGAAATTCAGGAACTGCCTTTCTTTTTTATTTCCCTCAGGTGGGGGAAAAATATAAGCACCTGCTCCCAGGACTTAAAGACCTGGTCCTTGCTCTCCCCTGAATGACACCTGGAAGCAGGACACCCCCCCCACAAAACTTGAGAAACTGCCGTTCTTGCACCCCGTGGGTGGGACCGGGGGAGGAGCAGAGCAGTGCTGGGGCTATTCCGCCCCTGGGAGGAGGCGGGCGAGCACAGCAGCCGGCGGGATCGGCCCCGACCAAGGTGGCATTGGCGGGAGGAATGACCAGCTCGGTGCCCCCGAGCCGCACGTCACAGACAGCTTTCTCCCACCCCCTGCAGAAGGCGGGTGACAGGGTGGAGGGGGCCATCTAGCATATAGCCCATGGTGACGGCCTGGCCCTCCCTGGCTCTGGAGACCAGGCCACAGCCCCTGCTCCATCTTGTCCATGGTCCTGCTCTGGCACCATCAGCCATTTTGTGGTGGTCTCCAGGGGACAGGACACAAAATGGCTGCCTGAGGGGCCCCACCACGCCCGCCATTGGCCTCCCGCCCTCCAGCCCCCCGGCATGGGGACGGACCGCTGCGGACAGGCTGTGGCCGGAGAGCAGGGCCTCAAGCCCCTCGCCCTGCCTGCCCGCTCTGGGGCCAGGGCTCATCCGTGCCCACCGGCTCCCTGTGGTGCCCCGCGGCCCGTGGCCCTTCCACGGAGAGCCGTCTTGCCAGCACGAAATCCGAGTCCCGCTTTCCCAGGCTGCAATCCAGGACGAGGCCGACTCCAGCCCGCGCCCCGCGCCCCGCGCCCTGCCTGCGCTCCACCTTGCCCAGATTGACACCGCAGCCCGCTTCCCCGGAGCGCCCGTCGTGTCTGAGCCCGGGCGTGCTGCATGCCCAAGCGGACGGCA